ATCTATATCCACAGTAAAACGAGTCCTATATCGACATAACCTGAAAGGCCGCTCAGCAAGGAAGAAGCCACTGCTCCAAAACCGCCATAAAAAAGCCAGGCTACGGTTTGCAACTGCACATGGGGACAAAGATCGTACTTTTTGGAGAAATCTCCTCTGGTCTGATGAAACAAAAATAGAACTGTTTGGCCATAATGACCATCGTTATGTTCGGAGGAAAAAAAGGGCAGCTTGCAAGCCCAACCGTGAAGCACGGGGGTGGCAGCATCATGCAGTGGGGGTGCTTTGCTGCAGGAGGGACTGTTGCACTTCACAAAATAGATGGCATCATGAGGAAGGAAAATTATATGGATATATTGAAGCAACATCTCAAGACATCAGTCAAGAAGTTAAAGCTTGGTCGCAAATGGGTCTTCCAAATGGACAATGACCCCAAGCATACTTCCAAAGTTGTGGAAAAATGGCTTAAGGACAACAATGTCAAGGTATTGGAGTGGCCATCACTAAGCCCTGACCTCAATCCTATAGAAAATGTGTGGGCAGAACTGAAAAAGCGTGTGCGAGCAAGGAGGCATACAAACCTGACTCAGTTACACCAGCTCTGTCAGGAGGAATGGCCCAAAATTCACCCAACTTATTGTGGGAAGCTTGTGGAAGGCTACCCGAAACGTTTGACCCAAGTTAAACCATTTAAAGGCAATGCTACCAAATACTAATTGAGTGTATATAAACTTCTGACCCACTGGGAATGTGATGAAATAAATAAAAGCTGAAATAAATCATTCTCTCTACAATTATTCTGACATTTCACATTCTTAAAATAAAGTGGTGATCCTAACTGACCTAAGACAGGGAATTTTTACTAGAATTAAATGTCAGGAATTGTGAAAAACAGAGTTTAAATGTATTTGGCTAAGGTGTATGTAAACTTCCGACTTCAACTGTACATGTGAGAGGCAAATACACATTGGCTCTTTGACTGAATCCATTTAGCACTGTTTCTGCTGCATTTACAGAAATTATGGGACATTATAATTTAATTGCATTTGACAATTCATGTTTTGTCCGACAAATGCCTCACTGTTGTGCTACAGGTCCTGCCTCCAAAGTAAAAACCAAACGCTATGGGAACAGTTTCTTGCTTATAGGACAGGAATGTGTGAGAAAACAATGAATGATCTGTTGGGACAACAGATACCCAGATGGGTTAGAAGAAAAAGTATTTACCCTCTAAAAAAATAAAAGTCTCCCTGTTCTGGGATGCATGAATGGTTGCCTTATTCACACACTGGACCCTTTTAGAATGCACCAAGGATATGTCTCTTGCACCCAAAAGTTTTTGTTCTCAATATGATCAAATATCATTGTGTAGGTCTTCAAAGTTAACCGTCTTAGGTGCAACTACCAAACAAATCAGTCTTCGCTTCACTGACCAAACTAAAAAAGAGATTACAAAGGGTGACCTGTTTTTTCTCTCTTTTTGTCTTTTTCTTTTTTTCCCAGAAACAATGTTAATGCATTACTTGACTGTTATCCTTCCCCCCCTGATGATTTGCTTCAGCATTTTTCACTTCTCTTGTTTGAACAGATGCCGCCCCCCTCCAGCATGACCCGTCCCCCGGGATTGTTATAGTACTTAGTACAATGAAGTAACACGCAATTATATTAATGTTAGAGCACACCCCAGTAAGTTCCCTTTCCAGCTAGCGACATCAAATGATATGATGTATGACATTTCCTATGGTTTATAAACCATGGGCAACTTTTGTCTGATTCCAGTGAATGACATGCAAAAGGTTGTCTGAGGTAAAAGTGTTGTTGCATGAACGCAATCAACATCTCACTCTGTAGCCTCCATTACTGTCCAAACAGCATTTTTAGCAGGATATCAAATCAAATGTTATTTGTCACATGCTTTGTAAACAACAGGTGTAGATTAACAGTAAAATGCTTACTTACGGGCCCTTCCCAACAATGCAGAGAGAATGAAAATAGAGAAATAATAGAAAAGTAACCTATTGGCCAACCAAACTACAATTAAGCGATGGTGATAATCAGTGGGAAACAGATTATATTGGATCTGATTCAGCAGTCATGATCCTAGGCCTACTTGTGAAATGTATATTAATTTGGTCCTGGATTCAACCTCAAGGTAAAGTAGAGAAGCTGACTGTTTTGTAAACAAGTGATTTCAGGGCGGATCTGTAGCCGATATGCACAGCATTGGCAGTCTTTAATGACTGTTCCTTATAAATATTTGCCTAATTTTCCAAGTCAGAACACAACAGACATTTCCCTATGCCTTTTATCTGACCACTAATTCACCCCACAGAAGTTATGTGTGTATACATGTCCTTGAATCAAGCAGAAGGTGTTGTCTGTAAATAAGGATGGTTGCTCTCAATGTGCTCTAAAAGCAGCTTTGAGGTGTCCTATTACACCCAACTGTCCATCTCAAGTTGTGAATGCCACAGAATCCAAAAGGCAAAAGGTCCTTTGAAAATAGGACCTGAAAAGGTCCTGAAACCCCCTTAATAGTAGCATAAAACAGGAAGACGTCTCATCCTGACATCCAGTTGGAACATGCCGTGATCCATCTCTGAAGATTAACTTGTGTGACTGTGAAACAAATTAAACAAAAAACTTGATAACTGTCCCCTGGCAATAGTCAGATTACAAAAGACTGGTTCTCAGCTATGTCAAGGCCCCATGCAGCAAGCATTGCTTCTGTAGTCTCATCCTCTATTTACATGCCGTTGATATCACAATTAGGCTATAAAATCTATTCATGAATTTTCCTATCCTTACAAACATCTTCTGTTTTGTGTGCAGAACTCTATAGCTTACTGTAAATAGCCTCTGGTCTAGAATGGCCTATACTGAAACAGTCCAATGTGCACATTGATAGAACTCTATCTTCCTGGTGCCATGAGAATGCTGCACACCCTTTATATACCCACACCTATTTTACTTCAGGGATGGGCAACTTCGAGGGGGGTGGGGCCGCAGTGGTTCGCAGATCTGTGTACCCACATCCATACCCACACATTAAGTATTTTTGGGGTTCTAAGCAAAAAGTGTTTGTTTTTTTGTCTTTGGAAATTGATCCGCGGGTGCGGGCCACCAGTTGCCCATCCCTGTTTTAGATCCTCTGTGTTCTTATCTTAAAGTGTTTTGACTTGCCTTATTTCATTTACTGCATTGATTTAAATAAGAGACACTATACAGTATAGACGTACTGTATATGTATCTAGGGCAATTCAGAAAGCTGATTGAGGACCTTATTACTGGTGAATGTGTTTGTTTTTTATTACCGTGTTTTTCTTTCTTTCTGCTTGCATTTTGTATTTATATTGATGTGTGTATTTTCTTTAATTTATATAATTCAGATCTTATCTGTAAAAGAGACCTTGGTCTCAGTATGACTCCCTGATAAAATAAAGGTTAAATACAAAATAAATAAATTATTGGCACTAGTGTTTTTACAGGCAATAATCAGAGAAGCATTGCAATAGTAGCCTATCATTGTGCAAATTGAAGAAATGTAACAACATTTAAAAAGAAGGGAGAACCAGAGGAGAACTATTTGCTGAAGGTATAAATTATTTCAAGTATTGTGTCAGTACTTTCTCTATTTCCCTCGACCTTGGCTGGACTGGGTAGTCGGGGGAGATTTCCAGTCGGCTCTGTGAGTACATATGATGCAGTGCGAACGAATCACCCTGACAGTCCCCCTTTAAACGAGCTCCGCCCCTAAAATCAGTCGATCAAATTCTGCATCGCACTCAACCTCGTCCGTCCAATCATAACCCACTAGGGGTGGTCTTAGGATGGTGGTCCGGGAAGCTGTTAGCCAATCAAGTGTCCTGCTCAGTGAACAAAAGGTCCACGTCAACTATCGTTGGTTCTCTGAATAAGACATTATTCATGTTCATGCTGGTTATTTAAAGGAGACATGACGACGATGATGAGGCGAGATAGCGGTATTTCATGTTGAGAAGTAACGGTCGGTGACTCCCAAACATGTATGAAGGCAGAATCATGTGTACATTCATTTAGCTAACTCATCACTTCAGATGCACTGTGTTTTTTAAAATGTTTTATAGTTATCCAATAGTATACCGCACACTGCTAAGAATAGGTGGCAGTAGTATAGCAGGGCTAGGCTACACGCCGCACTCTGTTTAGAAAGTTACTGTAACTTGCTAGCAGCAATCCTAGTGTGACATCACATTTGAATGAGCATGCGTTGCTAATTCATTCACAAGCCCTTTGTTAGCACATTCACGCGACGTTGTTAGCTCATTTTACGACACTGCTATCTCTTGAAATAATATTACTTGCACAGTTACATATGAAAGTGAATTGGTCTCGAATTACGTCAGAACCTCAAGTTTACTTTCAAATCTTTGCTTGGTTGAATGTATCCTAATATAAAACAGCGCTATGTAGCTAGATAAAATCAAGTGCAAATCGTAGTTATTTAGTTTGTGCCGTCTTTTGTTTATGGTGCTAAAAAGTTAAACAGTGACCTCAGCCACACTGAAAGCACGCTACACACCCACCGCCCAGCAAACACCAAAAGGACGCTTTTCGCATGACCGAGTTCATTTGAATCTGGTGAGGGAGGGAGTGGAGGTCTGCCGCCCGTCCTCTGCACTGCGAGCTGCTATTTCTTCCGCTGCCTTCGAACAACACAGTCGATTCGCATTAGGGCACCGGCTGTATAGACAGAAGAACATTGTTTGTTCTATGACAGCACTAAGGAAACTACCAGTATTTCTTATTGTCGAAGAAAGTTTGCAAGTAGATGCATATCAACGAGCAATTTTGAAATTCGTCTAGTGAGGTTCGCTGTAGTGTAGGAGGCAAGGTGATAAGTACCGGCTACCTTTTGAGGAAAATAAACCCTAAAAGATCAGAACCTACAGTATTATCGTTAGTGTTACTTGGTAAGTAATTTCACATTTGCCAAATTAGTTTGATAGCTGGCTGGCATCATGACTCGGAGATCCTGTGTAATTTACGCTACTGGAATTGTCTGCGCCCACCTACTGATAGTGGGGATCGCCTTGGTTGTGGCTCAAGTCTTCCAAACAATGATTCACAACCGGCTAAAAAAGGTGAGTTGCAACTTTTTCCCACTTCAAACATGCATTTTATTGTCTGGTGGCTTTAACTTGTTAGTTGTGTTTGCACTGAACAGCAGACGGTGAGTCACATTTTCTATCCCTTGTCATTAGGTGATGTTCGATAGATAACGTTACAGCATTTGAGTTCACTCATTCTGCATCTCCAGTCATTCGCCCACCCAACATGGGTCAGTGCAGCATGCCATCCAATGTCGACAATTTACATGTGTGTGTGTTCTTTACCACCAACCATTTATGTTTTTTGTGGTAGGACCGCAACAATGTATCATGAATAAATCCGCAACATTGATTCAACCATCTTGAACAGTTCTGCAAGGCGTTCAGCATGTAAACTCAATGTATAGCCTGATTTGAATTTCACTGGCTGATTTACAATGCCAGGTATGTTCGTCACAGCGCGTGGAGGTAACATAATCATCACCACGGATTGGTGCACTCTAAGCAAGCAACCTGCTTTATTCCAACAATACAATTTACCCCACTCACTTCATTTGCTGAATTGTACTCAAAGCCAAGCTTTATTATACATAATGGTTGACAGATGAGTTGAAATACTGTGGACTGCTGCATCTTTATCTGCGGTGTATTAATCTTATTTACATATCTGTGTCACAATATCATTTATTGGGAATGGGATAAAAAAATTATTGGGTTTATCAGTCAGGGGTTGTAGTAGGGGTGGAATCTCGTCAGAGAAGGGTCTGGGGAGGTGCGTGCGCATGGCATGGATGGGGGAAGGGAGAGAGACGGTGAAGGCTGAGTCCTGCTCCCTTTTGAAATACTTGGCATTTCACTCTTCTCCCTCTTTGCTTACCAGGTTGAATACTACAATATTAATAATCCCCCCCAAAGATGTCTCGCATATGAACAGGTTCACTTTCTCTTTCTTAAAGTGCCATGCCCACCTCAGCAGAAATGTCACACTGACAGTCATAGGATACAGACACACAAACATTATTTTTATTAGTTATCTGCCACAGTTTCGTTGCTGCTGTTAAATTAATTTGGGTCTGGGTTTATTTGGGACATGGTGTCATCCTAGACCTAGAAAACATAACACCGTGAGAAAAAAATAATATATACAGTGAGGGAAAAAAGTATTTGACAAAGAAATGATCAGTCTATAATTATAATGGTAGGTTAATTTGAACAGTGAGAGACAGAATAACAACAAAAAAATCCAGAAAAACGCATGTCAAAAATGTTATAAATTGATTTGCATTTTAATGAGGGAAATAAGTATTTGACCCCCTCTCAATCAGAAAGATTTCTGGCTCCCAGGTGCCTTTTATACAGGTAACGAGCTGAGATTAGGAGCACACTCTTAAAGGGAGTGCTCCTAAAATCAGTTTGTTACCTGTATAAAAGACACCTGTCTACAGAAGCAATCAATCAATCAGATTCCAAACTCTCCACCATGACCAAGACCAAAGAGCTCTCTAAGGATGTCAGGGACAAGATTGTAGACCTACACAAGGCTGGAATGGGCTACAAGACCATCGCCAAGCAGCTTGGTAAGAAGGTGACAACAGTTGGTGCGATTATTCGCAAATGGAAGAAACACAAAATACCTGTCAATCTCCCTCTGCCTGGGGCTCCATGCAAGATCTCACCTTGTGGAGTTGCAATGATCATGAGAACGGTGAGGAATCACCCAGAACTACACGGGAGGATCTTGTCAATGATCTCAAGGCAGCTGGGACCATAGTCACGAAGAAAACAATTGGTAACACACTACGCCGTGAAGGACTGAAATCCTGCAGCGCCCGCAAGGTCCCCCTGCTCAATAAAGCACATATACAGGGCCGTCTGAAGTTTGCCAATGAACATCTGAATGATTCAGAGGAGAACTGGGTGAAAGTGTTGTGGTCAGATGAGACCAAAATGGAGCTCTTTGGCATCAACTCAACTCGCCGTGTTTGGAGGAGGAGGAATGCTGCCTATGACCCCAAGAACACCATCCCCACCATCAAACATGGAGGTGGAAACATTATGCTTTGGGGGTGTTTTTCTGCTAAGGGGACAGGACAACTTCACCTCATCAAAGGGACGATGGACGGGGCCATGTACTGTCAAATATTGGGTGAGAACCTCCTTCCCTCAGCCAGGGCATTGAAAATGGGTCGTGGATGGGTATTCCAGCATGACAATGACCCAAAACACACAGCCAAGGCAACAAAGGAGTGGCTCAAGAAGAAGCACATTAAGGTCCTGGAGTGGCCTAGCCAGTCTCCAGACCTTAATCCCATAGAAAATCTGTGGAGGGAGCTGAAGGTTCGAGTTGCCAAACGTCAGCCTCGAAACCTTAATGACTTGGAGAAGATCTGCAAAGAGGAGCGGAACAAAATCCCTCCTGAGATGTGTGCAAACCTGGTGGCCAACTACAAGAAACGTCTGACCTCTGTGATTGCCAACAAGGGTTTTGCCACCAAGTACTAAGTCATGTTTTGCAGAGAGGTCAAATACTTATTTCCCTCATTAAAATGCAAATCAATTTATAACATTTTAAAATGCGTTTTTCTGGATTTTTGTTGTTGTTATTCTGTCTCTCACTGTTCAAATAAACCTACCATTAAAATTATAGACTGATCATGTCTTTGTCAGTGGGAAAACGTACAAAATCAGCAGGGGATCAAATACTTTTTTCCCTCACTGTATATTGTTAATGATGTCATTCAGCGTACCTATACTTTAAGTTAAATATAGTGCAGGAGTCTTATGTGGACATATTGCCGGTGGCTGAAAAGATAAAAGATAAATTAAGAATTCATGTCCATCCACAACTGTACCACTTCTATATCTAAAACGGATCTTAGAACTACTTTCCAGTAGCATACCTAGAATCTGACGGACTCCTTGGCCTGGAGGCAGGATTGTTTTTGCTCTGTGAGCATTCATCTGTTTCATTGTGGTTTCAGCCCTGGCCTGATCTAGGTCTAGAGGACTGCTCTGCCTGGAAAACACCACTCTTTATTGTCATCATGTAGACTGGAAAACTGCTTAAAAACATGGCTCTGAATAACATTTATTATGGTATTGAGAGAGGTTATCAAACCACAACACCCACAGATGTTTCAGGTCAGGTTTTCATTTATTTTTGAGTGAACCTGATCGTTATGTTTTAATGTCCTTACCACTCTTCATGTGACCCACCCCCAACCACCAGCTACAAAAATAGTGAGTTTGATTTGAGATAAGATTGATAAACCCTCAACCCTTTGTCCCTGCTTGCTTGTGAGATCAAGGTTTGAAGCATTTCTAAGAGATAAATGATGTAGACATGATCTATGGAAGCCTTTGAGACCTTTCTTTTTCAAGGGTGTTAAACACAGGAATTCTTCTAATCTAGGCCTTGACTTTACCAAAAATTACAATGTTGCACAGAAACTGTCACTCTTGGGAATTGTATCCGTTTGAAAGGGGCTCCATTTGATTTAGAAAAACAAAACAGACATCACTGATTGTGAAACTTGGTACCATAATGCTGAAGATGAGTCTGAATCACATGTTGGTGGTGTTTTTCTCTCTCACATTTCCTGTATGTAGTCAGTGTTTGGCTTTAAAGCTAGAATCCTTAGTTGGTACATACATTTGGATTTAGATTATTAATATATAACCTACCCATTGAGTCTTAAAAAATATAGAGTGCATTCAGAAAGTATTCAGACTCCTTCACTTTTCCCACATTTTGTTACGTCACAACCTTATTCTGAAATGGATTAAATACAACAAGTTTACTCTTCAATCTACACACAATACCTCATAATGACAAAGTGAAAACAGGTTTTTAGAAATGTTTGCAAATTTATTAAAAATAAAAAAAAGAAATACCTTATTAACATAAGTATTCAGACAGGGAGGTGACCAAGAACCCAATGGTCACTCTGACGGAGCTCCAGAGTTCCTCTGTGGAGATGGGAGAACCTTCCAGAAGGACAACCATCTCTGCAGCACTCCACCAATCAGGCCTTTATGGTAGAGTGGCCAGACGGAAGCCGGCACTCAGTAAAAGGCACACGAAAGCCCGCTCTGGGTTTGCCAAAAGGCACCTAAAGGACTCTCAGACCAAGATTCTCTGGTCTGATGAAACCAAGATTGAACTCTTTGGCCTGAGTGCCAAGTGTCACGTCTGGAGGAAACCTGGCACCATCCCTACGGTGAAACATGGTGGTGGTAGCATCATGCTGTGGGGATGTTTTTCAGTGGCAGGGACTGGGAGACTAGTCAGGTTCGAGGGAAAGATGAACGGCGCAAAGTGCAGAGATCCTTGATGAAAACCTGCTCCAGAGTGCTCAGCACCTCCGACTGGGGCGACGGTTCACCTTCCAACAGGACAACGAACCTAAGCACACAGCCAGGACAACACAGGAGTGGCTTCGGGACAAGTCTCTGAATGTCCTTGAGTGGCCAAGCCAGAGCCCGGACTTGAACCCGATCTAACATCTCTGGAGAGACCCTTAAATAGCTGTGCAGCGACGCTGCCCATCCAACCTGACAGAGCTTGAGAGGATCTACAGAGAAGAATGGGAGAAACTCCCCAAATAGAGGTGTGCCAAGCTTGTAGCGTCATACCTGAGAAGACTCGAGGCTGTAATCGCTGCCAAAGGTGCTTCAACAAAGTACTGAGTAAAGTGTCTGAATACTTATGTAAATGTGATATTTCAGGGTTTTTTTTGTTTTATAAATTAGCAAAAAAAAAAGGTTTTTGCTTTGTCATTATGGGGTATTGTGTGTAGATTGAGGGGACTTTTTTAAATACATTTTAGAATAAGGCTGTAACGTAAAAAGTCAAGGGGTCTGAATACTTTCCGAATGCACTGTAACTTATAAATGCCTCATGAGTTTAGTTCAGCTGTCATACCCCATCATAACCCAAAAGATAAGTTTATTTTACTCCGATATTCGTAAACAAACACGGTATACCCTCAAAACATGGGTAAAAGTATAATTTTAATGTCAAGGATGGTCAGTCCTTGCATCCATAGCTCTGTCTATGATTTTGAGAATGGTTACATTTCTCCAGGCCCATCCCTCAGCTTTTTACTAAAACAGGCGGAGTGACTGCTTTAATTGTTTCAACTGCGGATTCTGACTTTAAACGCAGCCAATACAACACACATGATTGGAATAGCTGGCTTAGTTTGGCTTGACTTTTTTCACAACTTTCAGGTGACTCAAATGATCTAGTAAAATAAAAGGGAAATGGCTTCTCAGCGATATCTTTATTCCATGCGAAGTGATATTTGACTCCACAGCATTCATACTTTGCTGTACAGAATGAAATGGGCTATTAAATTAGTTGATTCACATGTCTTGTGCTGGAAACAGCCTATTTCACTGCCTCAATATGACCACTCCAGTTATGTTGTTTAAAACTGACTAGAGTCTAAGTGAAGCAACAGGCTTCTGTTTTGCCCCAGAGGAGCATGCCCCCAGTTCAATGCTCTAGCTAGTGAGTGGTGACCTTTGGCCAAGTTGTGTAGTGTGTTTGTCAGAATGTGTGTATGAGCCAAAATTATTGTCCGATCATTTAGGGCTTCGTAGGAAGTATGTACCCAGTTTCCCCTATATTCATTTAGTAGCGGTGGCTTAATTCTTGCTACCAAATATGATTTACTTTTTTTATACATATTTCTTCAGAGACTCGCTTTTGAAATGGGATAGTCCTTTGGCTCAATGACTGGAAAACACTGAAAAATCAAGTCTGGACGTGAAACAAGAGTTTGTGCATCCTTGTTGAGCCACACCTTAAAAGCAACAGCCTCTCTCAATCACTGAGTTTTGCTGAGCTTCTCTGAGACCTCAAGATGAGTGTGTGAGCTGTGTGAACGGTAAAGGCCTTTCTTTCATGTACACCTCACTTTACTCGGGGGACAGAGAAAGCAATCAGTAACCCCTTATGTAAAGGAGGGGGGGGGGGGGGGGTGAGACATTTCTCACTTGAAGTTAGAAATACCCTCTTGAATGGATTTTTTTGTTGTTGTAGTTACCGATTTCTCTATACAGTAGGCGTACATCACTTACCCGTATCTTATGGATCAACCGACATTCTCTTTTTAGATTTGACAACCATGTTCCAGCATGCCATGTTGAATGTCACATTACAGTTGAATTACTCAGGTCTCAGAGCATTTCGTGTTATCTGAGACACTCAATTTAGTATGAGATGTTACATTTCATATGGTATGTATTAATTTGTGGATGTCCATCATCCATTTCGTATGATATGTTAGAAATTACAATTCGTATGATATCTTCCAAATTGCAATTCTTACGTTACGAATTTGCAAAACATATGATATACTACGAATTCCAATTTGTTGTGGCTAATGTTAGCTAGCTGGCTAACGTTAGCTAGGCTAGGGCTTAGGGAGAAGGGTTAGCTAACATGCTAAGTAGTTGCAAAGTAGATAAAAAGTAGTAAGTCGTTGAAAAGTTGTTAATTAGCTAAAATGCTAAAGTTGTCCGTGATGAGATTCGAAAGCGCAACCTTTGGGTTGCTAGACATTTGCGTTATACGGCCACCCATCCTCCTGTCTTATGTAACCATACCAAACGTAACATATACTAATTTGAGTGTTTACTATGTTACGTCTAGTCTGAGACCAGGCCGTGTTGAAGCTATGGTCTTTCTAGTCAAGCATTTGTAATGTTGGCTAATGTTACACATGATTGACACTGATAGTGTTTAAAATGCTGTGGAATTGTGGTGGACTTTTTCTATCTGATCATTGCCACGTTTAAAAAAACTGGACAAATTTAGTCCCACATGAATTTCTGTGGTCTGAGAGACTTATCTGAACAGATTTAACCACTTTCCTGTATTCAAATGATGACCAATAGGACAGTGATACTACTCCATATTGTTTATTCAAACTGTCATGCTCCCATTTGGTGGGCAGTAATTTAGGCTTTTTGATGATTGTCCTGAGAAAAATGCAAACATCCCTTGAGCAGCCTGCTGTGGTTCGACCGAGCCTCCTCCTTTGCTCTTTTCACTCAGGTTTTCTGCTTGTTCTGATGGTTATTCACCTGCGAAGGAGTTTTCCCCTTTACCCTGTGGTTTTGGTGTGCTGGCATTGGGTCCTCGCTACATTAATTGCAGTTTGTGCTCTCTCCTGGTATAACCTGAAAAGGATTGTTGATGGGTAATGCTGCCGGAATCAAAAATGAAATGGCTTTTGAAAGCCAAAATATCTTTAGTTTAGAGATTAATGAGAACTGTTTCAAATAGCTTTTTAGGCCAGCGCTCCTTCTATCCCTCAGAAATATACTACCCTAAACAGATTACACTTGGAGAGATCATTGTTGTTTTGGACCGTCCTTAATCATTAACTGTAATTCTCTATTACAATTTATTTTATTTTTAGGAATTGACTTTGACAGAGGCAAGCCAAGTATTTGAGTCGTGGAAGAACCCGCCTCCTCCAGTCTACATGGAGTATTACTTCTTCAATGTGACCAACCCAGAAGTGTTCTTAGCAGGGGGCAAGGCGGTGGTCACCCAGATTGGACCTTACACTTACAGGTAGGTTGACAACACACTCACTGCTCTCCTTTGAAATTAGGAGGCATCAGTTCACACAGGGCTGACTCTTAGCTTGAGATCCACAATCATAACTTTGACTTAAGTGGAAATCATGTATCGATGCCAATGGAAGGTTTTTGCAAATGTTTGTGTTGCATGTGCGCATCTCAAGTTAAGATTCGGCCAACAATGTATTTGTTTTATGATCTGTTCTTTTGATCATGGGAAGCTGGTGATGCAGGTCTTGGGAAAGTAATATTGACTGAAAGCTGTTCCATGCTGCTGAACCTGCTGATGGACTTGTTTGAACTCGTTCACATGGGGATGAAAGACATCTGTGTGGACCAACTTAATCCTCCTACCCACATCTTTCCATAACAGGGAATACAGACCCAGGGAAAATGTGACTTTCCTTGAAAATGGAACCAAGGTTTATGCCCTGAATCCCAAAAGCTTTGTCTTCGTCCCAGAGAAGTCCAGGGGTAATCCAGAGGTTGACATTCTGAGGACAGTCAACATCCCAGCTGTGGTGAGTTAGTGTGTGTTTCTCTCAGCCTCTACTTGTTACATCTACATTTGGTATACTTGTACAGGCTTCGTTTATACACTGTATCTTAGCTGCCATGGACACGTTGTATCTGCAATATAGTGTGTTATAAACTGTGGTGCAACACAGTTCTTAGAGTACTTAGAAACATGAGGATGTGAATTATTCCACAAGTGTATCCTCTTCTGTTTTGGTCAAGTTTAACCTTTTGAGAGTCGCCATTTTGGTCAAATGTAACCTTTCTTGAGTCACAGTATAACCACTGTAACCCTGTATTGGCATTCCTTTACTGCATCGTTCCAGTAGACTTTCCAAGCATTATGCTAAATGCTGTAGTATGACATCTTGGTGACTTGTTCCTACCAACTTGTTACTTTATAGCAGACACTTTCATGGACGTAATCCAATTTCCATTGATGAGAACCAAACCAGATTCTAGACAACAACAAAAGCTATAGACTTAGAAACTTTGTTTATAATTGTGTTGCATAGTGCCATTTTGTTACTAGTAGAATTTGTGTGGTATGGTGCAATGTGTGCTCTAACCCCTTCTCTCTCTGTTTCCTCTCCCTCTCCCTGGACAGGCGGTGATGAGCGAGCTGAACTCCTACTCCTTCCTGCTGCGCACCTTTGTCTCCATGTATATGAACTCCATCGGCGTGGAAATCTTCATGACCCGCACCGTCCACGAGGTGCTGTGGGGCTTCAAGGACCCTCTGCTTACCAAAATCCACAGCATTAGGCCAGAGGTGGACGAGATGTTTGGACTGATGTGGAAGGTAGGCACTGTTTGTTTAGTGAAAACCTTGAAATATGCTTAATCAGATTACACTTCTGAACTGGTCCTTGCTAATACACTCATTCACAAAAGTTATAACCTTAGCTAATGGCCATCTTGAAATTTGTGATTTAATCTAAAGTTGTGAAATTGCAATAGAAATCCTTTAGTCATCGAACCAGTAGGTGGTTGGGAGAGACTGGGAGGAGGTCTCGTGGTGTCATCACGTGATGAGTGAAAATGACAATATTCTGATGAAGCTGCTTACTTTCCGTTTTTCTGGGAGACTCGTGTCTGCTTTGGAGACTCACGTCTGCTATTCTGCCTCACGTAATAACAATGCGAACAGTTTGCTCAGGTTCAACAAACCAGTTAATGGTGCATTATTTGGAACCCCCCCGAAAAAACTAGACGTTGGATAGAATTTTACCTAAATTGTAAAATCTCAACTGCCAAAGCATTTATGTGGAAGGGAGCATTTGTGTCAGCCGTTTTGGTCAACTACAGCCTCTTACTGCTGTCTATAAAACTGTGATGTGAGAAGGAAAAACAGAACAGGATAGGCAGGCTACAGTAATGCCTTGACATTTTTATTTGAGCCTCTATAGCACAATATCCCCCGTCAGTACATTTCCAACAACAACAACCAGACACTTTAAACACTGAAATGCCTTCCCAAATGACTGTTTTTAACAGCATCGGGGGAAGATGTTCTAACTTTACCTCTGCTTATCAAGAGCCCATGTGGCTGTTTCTGATTCTGTACCTGTTCACTGTTCCCCTGGTCGTTGGATGTATTCCTTTTGATATGACAGTCTAACTGAACTATTGTCTCTCTCTCTTCTCCTAGAAAAATGGAACTCACGAAGGAGAGTTTGTGTTCCTGACTGGTGAACGGGACTACATGGAATATGGCAGAATAGACACATGGAAGGGGTTGACGTAAGGACCTTCTGTTTCCCACCTTCATGTTGTTGTTGTTAATGGCTCTCAAAAAACATTTCTCATGTCAGCATTTTGCTTTTTGGTCCTTGCCCTTCGACATTGGGTTTAGTCATTGAACGTGAATGAATTGGGATCTGTCCAAATCAAGTATTCAAAGTCCAAGGATAAACACATTTGATCCCTGTCATGACAGAGCAGATTGCAAAATCGTATATTTAAATATCAGAAATAGAAAACCGCTTCCAGGCATTTTAAATGGAATCAGTATTTGGCCTGCCACGTTATTTTGTAATAACCTTGTGTAAACGAAAGCTTCCTCTTGATGTGTAACATATCCTGTGCCTTTCAGTGAAATGTCATGGTGGTCCTCTAACCAGAGCAACATGATCAATGGGACGGACGGCAGTGTGTTCCACCCTCTGTTGTCCAGGAAGGAGCTGCTGTACATCTTTGCTGCTGACCTCTGCAGGTACGTCAGTCATATCTCCAAATCTGTATTGTCTGTAGTTTATTATTTGTTTACAGTCAAAGCAGCCAGTACAGAGTAGGGCGGCGGATTAGGTGACAGCCAAGAATTCTCGAAACAACTGACTCATATCCGTATCGGACTGATAAACCACTGTAGAAGACGCCACACCCTGGTCATGGTAAACAGGTGTGAGCTGAGCATGTTCCAACCAACACCATGATGCGTGAGGAGAAACTGGAGAAGAGGCACATAATATAAAAAGGAAGCTTTGACTCAATCAAGACCGTTGTACTTTGTCTTCTCATATTTACCCAATGTTCCACACAGTAGGTGACACATTTGTGACCACATACCTCACAATCTCCTCAGCAAAATTACATGTGTAGAACTGAATTAAGAATTCCAAAATCCTGCCGTAAGTTTTGTGAACTAATGAGAAACTCTTACTATACATCTTGTCTGTCCTTCTCCTTATTCCTACCTGCCTCTGTGGTTTAGGTCGATCCATCTGGGTTATGTTGAGGATGTGGAAGTGAAGGGCATCCCAGCCTACCGTTTCGCCCCGCCACACGACGTCCTGCAGAGTCCTGAGGAGAACCCCACTAACGCCGGCTTCTGTGTGCCAGCTGGGGACTGCCTTGGCACCGGGGTGCTAAAAGTCAGTGTTTGCCGAGAAGGTAAGAGATGGTTCATCACACTGTCGCAACCCTGGTTGGCATAACATTGCATGTGCCCCACATACCCAATGTTTGTTTTGACTAACCCCATAACCTATTTTTTTGATTGATTTAAAAATAATAACCCAATCAATCTAGTTCTAGCTGCAATCCAAGGTCCAATAGATATCAGAAATTCCCATGTTTGAGTGTCCAGATTTCACAGTAGTGTAGATGGTAAATGATTAACTCTGGATGAGGGCTATAAAACACTTGAATTCCCTGCAGTGCTGTGAACCTGAGGATAAGGCATATCTCTAAACGGTTTCCCCTCATAAAACAATCCATGTACAAACACATGGCATATAAATGCACTACTGTAACCCTTAAGTCTCGTGAGTGAAGTAGATGTATTTTTAAGTCCTATGTGTGTTAAGAAACATCCACTTTCGCAGTGGTGCAGAGAAAGTTCAACGATCTGGGCAAAGTTATTCCTCCAGTTATTAACTCACTCACTGGAACACATTACATTGTGTCTCTATGAGTAGTACCGTGTGGAACTTCATAATGGTCATTCTGACTTCAAAGGAATCGTTTTTGTCCTGGGTTGTAAAAACCGTCCATAATGTCACTGTCTGTTTATCAGAACATATCTGGTACAGGCAGCCTTTCCAATGGCAAGGAAGGAACTCGACACAATTTTTGCTATCTGTTCCGCTATCTCCATGCCTGGGTTATAATACCAGATAGCAAACGTTATCAATCTCTCGCTTTTGTCTTTGATGTTTCCTTTTTAGAGCCCCAATATCCAAACATTTACTTTGTTTTGCCTAATCCTCTCTGATAGTAGTCCAGGATAAGAACATAGGTTACTTGTGGTGTTTTATCTCTTAAATCATTTTTCTTTCCCATCTCCTTCCTCTTGTCCATAGGTGCACCTATCGTGGTGTCGTTCCCCCACTTTTATCAGGCAGATGACAAGTACATTAATGCTGTTGAAGGACTGCACCCCAACAAGGAGGAGCATGAGACTTACCTTGACCTTAACCCGGTATGAACAAACATTTAACTACATTTATATAGTGATAATTCCAATATGCGGGATCAGTTATGGGCCCTATACTCTTACATAGTGTCATTCTGAGTATAAGTATACTGTATTTAATAGCTATATTACATTTTGTATGTGTTTATGCAGTACCAGTGGAATATAAACATTTGCTGCCTCCATATTATAAAGGGCAAGTTTTAACTGAATTAGTTTCTATTCCTTCATTTTAAAGCGTTTGATTTTTTTCGTTATTTTTTAGACCACTGGGGTTCCCATCCGTGCCTGCAAGAGAGCCCAGCTCAATATAATTTTGAACAGAATTCCAGGCTTCCCGTAAGTATAACAATCTGAACAGTTAGCCAAACTGACCTTTTTCACTCAATTGGTATTAGGGATGAGAAGGCCTATTGTTGAACCTCAAGTACGCACTTCATTTTCTATTCCGCAGCAAAACCAAACATCTAAACGAGACCATTTTCCCCATCATGTTTGTCAATGAGGTAAGACTCATCTCCTCCCTTTCTCACTCTCAAATGTATTTTGTGAAATTCAATCAGCCTCACGTGCAGCCTAGAAATGTCAAATGAAGTTGTATTAGACAAAAATCTAGATATTTAGCTAGAGAGAACCCTTTAGTCTATTATTAAGAAATGGTAATAACAACAGTTAATAACATAGTAAAGACAGGTTAATAACCTTAGTGACCCACCCAATTCCCCCAGACGGCCACTATCGACGATGACTCTGCTGCCCAGATGAGGACCCTGCTACTCATCGTGACTCTGGTGTCCAACTTCCCTCTGCTCATCGTGGGCATGGGCGCCATCCTGCTCATTGTCCTAGTCATCTTGGTCTGCAGGTCTCGCCAGAAGAAGGTAAGACCTGTACTCTACCCCTGCACTTACTCCCAGGAGACGCAAACAATTTTTATTTGTTGCAAAAAATCAATAATATTCATAAGCTTCTCTAAAATAGTGTAAATTCTGCACTTCACTCACAATATGTCAGTTGTTGTCAAGGAGGTTATAAGTGATTAGTCTTTAATGGTGTAATGACACAACAAAGGTTTTATGTTAGCTTTGACAGTGTTCTTCGATGTTAGATCTGTTTATATACCATTTATTCTTCTGTATTAACATCACTGGTCTGGTGTCTTGAGTTATCCTCCAACTCCTTGCATGTTAAGTTAACACAGTGCATGATGAACCTCACATAGTCAACATGTGCTGCCTTCTGTAATCTCTGTATGAAATTATATTGCTTCTGGCCTTTCTAACAATTTGAAATCACTGAGGTCAAAACAGGAAATATATATCTTAATTTAGCAGTCCCCGTTGGCAGACAGACCGTCACAATGATGACAGTGTATAGTCTACAGTACCGTACAGGCCAGAGTCCTGTAGGATAGCCAGGGGACTTTCAACACTTATCTGTGTTTGTCTAGGTTAGTCCCTCTGACCCCGTGTGCATGACCCCATTCCCCACCCATCAGTTGTGACTCAGATATGGGTTATCAGAACTTTACATGTTACAGCTTGAAATATCAAATAAAGCTAGAATCCTTAATTCAAACAATAACAGCTGTCACCCCAAGCTGAGGGATTGGAAAAATGTAACCACTGACAGAACCACCAGACATGGATGCAAGGACTGACCATCCATGATATAAAAATAGTTTTAACCATGTTTTTAGGCTTTAGTGTTTGTTTACATTAACATTGTTTACAAACATTGGAGTAAAACAAGCTTGTATTTTGGGTTCTGATGGGGTAAGACTGTTGAAATAAGCTCATGAGTCATAAGTTACATTTTCTAAAATCAATGAGTTTATATCATTCATTTATAAGACCAGAATTCCAGCTTTGAAGAACTGTATAGTTACCGTGTTATGATTAAAGTGTTCTGTAACCCCCCTTTTTCCTTTCTGTTTTAGAATGAAGTAAAACGTATTGATTTTACTGAAGCTTTTCATTCTTTTACTGTAAGTCTTCATTTGCCTCGTTTGCTATTTTCGTTCAGTTATTTGCAATTCTTGCTTATTGCTTATCATTTTCAAATGTAATATCTTTAGGTATAATATATACATATTTATTTTAAATTCCTGCTTCATAGTGGTATTTCTTCATTAAGTTAAAGAATTTTGAGTCAGGTGGTTTTGTGCACTGACATTAATGAATGATTTATCCACAATTAGTTTATTATATACCGTTGCATTTCCAATTTAGTTGTAAATATATAGAAATGTTGTTTTCATGGTAGAATTCTGCTTTGTCATTTACAAAATGTCCTCCCCTTTCCCTCTTCAGACTGCAAAAGATGAAACGGCCTACACTCAAGTCAGCGACAAACCAGAGGTTGAACCATCAGAAAACAACTATACCAGCCAGCCAATGAGGAACGGCTCCTACATTGCCATGTCTCCCGTGGAGGCTCAGAAGTGTTGATGCAGGCTGCATTGTGTGGAGAGGGTCAGGCGGAGCAGCTTGGGCGTGGTATTATAACCAAGGCGGGGTTTCGCAGTGCGGCCAGGGTCTTTCACTTTTGGGGAACAACCCCAATAAATGTCCATGTCTATCAAGATGTTGCTCCTCTTCTCAATGACGCTCTTGACTATCCTACTATCCTGCTGAGCATGGCCTTTCTGCCTGCCATAGTGCAAAACAACAACTCCTGTCTACTATTACTACTACTGTCACTTCTGTCTGTTCTGTTGGGCTCAGTGCTGGGTTCATGAAGGAACACCTGGACAACCAGGACATAAGCTGTTTTGAGTATTTTCTGCTCTTTGAGGGAATAAGTATCAAATTAGGCAGTATTTTCACTGATCAATAACAACCACTGAGCAGCCTCTATCAGCCTTACACTGACGGATGGGTAGTATTCACCTGATTAATGAAGACTAGAGGGTCCTGAAACATTTCTTTGTATCAGTGTTTGTGAGGTCACCTCCAAAACAAGCCAACAGATTAAAACATTTGGTCGTTTTCCCTCCCTCCCTGTGAATTTTCACTGACTCAGACTATAAGTGGTTTTGCTAATAAAACTGTACTTATTTAGCATATCCTTTTTGTAGAAAAAAGAAATGGACTATTTATAGCATATTTTGTCTTTTCCTGGGATGAATCCGTCAGTGCACACACCCAAGTTATCAAATAGAATGTGTGACAGTTTGTGTGTGCATGTCTTACCATGCAGTATCCTGTTTTCATTGGGCTATGGGTGACTCTTTTTCTTGATGCATGCTCAGTGTAGTATGACAACTGAGATACTAGACATTTAGAAAAAAAAATCCTTTCCCTTCACCTTTTTCTCCAACACTAGTTTAAGACAGAATCTTTTGAAACCTTGACATTTCCTCAGATAAGGCATTAGTAAATAGCTGCTTTCCCATTAAGGATTGTTTGGGGATGTTACCTATAGCCAAATTAGATATGCCCTAAGCTTTCATCTCATATTCAAATTGTAAGAGAAAAAAAACATACCCACAAAACTTACAAAGGAGACCTTAACCTACTTTCTGTCTTACAATTTTCAGTGTGTTTCTTTGTTGATATGGTAAAAAGCTGCATATCTTAGTAGTTGTACATATGTAATGGGGAAATGTCTGGCTACCGCTGACCTAATCCAGCAAGTAGTCACAATTTTTTAACATCAGTGTCGACCCACTTTGTGTGTCTGCATCGATACTTAGAAAGCACAATTTGGATTGCTAGTACAGTCCTTATAACAAGGTGACCAGGTTTTCACATAAAGACGAAACCCTGTTAGAAACACAGACGGGTGTGCTGTAAAGAAACCACAGGTGAATTGTAGAATAAACAGTTGTGCCCTGCGCACCGCTTCTGTTGTGCATGTTATGTCGAACAGAGTCAACTGGCTTGCCAAGGAGCTGTAGGTATTCAGACAAATGTGGCACTTCAATCACTCTCTGTCTGATATTTTGATATGTTTTTGGGCTGTCATTGGTCACTAGTCTCTGTGTTGTGTCAAGCCTTTTGGCAGTTGCTTCTGGAAAAAATGAACTAAGGCCATAATACTGTCAACTTGAAAATTCCTGCACTTTCCCCAAAAAAAGAAAACGTGCCCTGTATTTTGGGGTTGTGTTATGTAAAATGCAAGGGTCCTTCTGTGCATTTCAGTAGTTTGCCCCAGGGGTGTTTTTCAATGTGGCTCCTGAGGTGTTATTCTAGTTGGACACTTTGCCTTTGTTACTTGCTTTTCAGTACATTGATATTATTATTTTTTTGTATCTATTATTGCTGCTAATAATTGCATTAACCTATGGACTTGTATTTTTCTATGGATGAGCCATCCATGCTCATATATTCTGTTTAAGGTTGTTCCAACAGAAACCAGTATCATCTCTTTTGAATTGCTATGTCTGGTCTCTGAAGCAAGTCTTTAAATGTTGAAGAATATTTGAGCAGGATTCAATGCCCAAAGCTTGCTGTCATTTACTGGAATTAACAGATAACTAAAGATCGCAACATTGTAACATCATATATCATGTTTTTTTAACCACTTCTGTTAACTGATGATGATTCGATCTGTTGTCATTGTGGCTGAGGAATTGTCCATATTAGGATGATTTAGATATTTGTAATACTTGTTTCTGTGGGTGATTTATAGATAGGGTTTGTAAAACTGGAAACTATGTCTGTGGAGTTCTAGATGGATGCCCTAGTAAACAACGTTTTTTTTTTTTTTTTTTTCAAGCATGATTTTGGTTGTGCAATTAAGGACGTCTGTCAGACATGGCTTTGGGGATATACTCTGAAACGTTGGTCCTGGTTATATTATATATCAAGGACCTATAAACAGTAGGCCTTTTCGGCTCCATCTATATACAAGCAATCATGGCCGTGTGCAATTATTGCTGTACTTGTTTAATCATCACAGTATATCTTACCATCCTTATTGACTTGAATCTAGAAGACCTTAAACCTGAGAACCGTGTGTGTTGTGTGCGCTTAACGGTGCGCGCGCACACACACACACACACACCTGAGCCAACACTTACCACTATCTGACTGACTAGTCCCATTCACCTTTTGTACCCAATCATTCAAGTCCATTCGCTCCCCTGTGCTTGACCAAAGATAACCTACATAGATCTGTTCCAGCTTGTGTTTACTATCCTCATAGATAACGGTTGTGCCACCACCGCCTGCCTACCTTCTACACTATGGCTGCGTCTGTAATTGCACCCTATATCTTATACTGCACACTACTTTTGACCGGGGCCCACAGGCTCTGGTCAAAGGTAGTGCACTGTATAGGGAATACGTTGCTGTTTTGGATGCACGCCATCTAAAACAGTGCCAGGAACCAAGTGCAGTATATTTACAACATTGTTTGAGTCGTGCTTCTCCCATCAAGGCCAAAACGTGGTTTTTACAATTCGATAAGGATGATTAATATCAAGCGAACTTCAAAGGGTTAGAATGCAGCTCTAATGTGCAAATAAAAATGGAGTTATGTATTGACACAGCAATACAAGGTTATGTAAAAATACATGTTTTTTAATCGGACACTTTATGTATCCATATGTTCTCTTTGTTTTCTGAATACGTTTTTTTAAAATGGTGGTCCTGTTTCATTTCTAAGTACAGTTTATTTTGTAATATTCAACTGGGGTCATCGCACACATTTCAGTTTGTATTATGACATTTTTCCGTCTCACAGAAAAATACATATTGTAAAGATGGTTCATAATGTGAGATATTGATCCGTCAGTGAGAGTAGCAAAGCCCCCAAATGTTCTGAGAGAATTCCTTGATGCTTGTGAATGTGTGTGTGCGTAGGATGATAAGCTTATGTAGACCTATTTTTGTGGAACTTATTCACAGTTTTGTCAAACTGGAGTGATTTAATTGGAAGGCTGACTATCTGTATACATGTGTAGGGAGATTGCCTTAGTGCCAGGACAGGCACAAGGGAAGTGTACATGCAATCTAACCCATAGATGAATGAAGCCCTCCTTCAGGGAAGAAGGCTAGTGCCATACATCCTTTATTTCATTAATTTACTTCAAGTTACCTATTTGTTTTAAGCAGTGTAGCAACTGTATAATGTTCACATGTCATTGCGTGTAAGTTTCTCAGTCACCAACTAACATGCATTTCAAGTTACTTCTGAGATATTTATCTTTTTTTGCTGCTGAAAATGACAATCGTCATGTTGGGTGCAAAACTATTTCAAAAGTAATATCCTTTTATTTTTAGTTTAATAATTTACACGGCACAAATGTTTATACAATGCTTTTTGTAAACATTTTTAGTGTATTTGCAAAAAAAAATAAAGTTGCAATGAATGCAAACAACAGTTGATTACTTTCTTTTTTCAGTCTTGCTTGCTTTTAATATACCTATAAATACTACTTTTGAATACATTGAGACCGTAGTAGTTTAACATATATATTATTTTCTGCTTGTGGTATTTGTTGGTGCCTTCACATACACTACATGACCAAAAGTATGTGGACACCTGCTCGTCGAACATCTCATTCCAAAATCATGGGCATTAATATGGAGTTGGTCCCCCCTTTGCTGCTATAACCGTCTCCACTCTTCTGGGAAGGCTTTCCAGGAGATGTCTGAACATTGCTGCGGCGACTTGCTTCCATTCAGCCACACGCATTAGTGAGGTCGGGCACTGATGTTGGGCGAATAGGCCTGGCTCACAGTCTGCGTTCCAATTCATCCCGAAGGTGTTCGATGGGGTTGAGGTCAGGGCTCTGTGCAGGCCAGTCAAGTTCTTCCACACCGATCTCGACAAGCCATATCTGTATGGACAATGCTTTGTGCACGGGGGCATTGTCATGCTGAAACAGGAAAGGGCCTTCCCCAAACTGTTGCTACAAAGTTGGAAACACTGAATCGTCTAGAATGCCATTGTTTGCTGTGGCGTTAAGATTTCCCTTCACTGGAGCTAAGGGGCCTAAGCCGAACCATAAACAGCCCCAGACCCTTATTCCTCCTCCACCAAACTTTATAGATTACTATTGTAAATTATATTGTGTCTGTAAAATGTATATAGAATGTATAAGCTGGAAGTAGAAGCCTAAGTGGTGGTGTTGTTTAGTTTACTCCAAATAGGGGGGGGGTTAGTGGAAAATATATTTTAAAAAGATAGGCACTATATGTATATATACAGTGCCTAAGGAAAATATTCAGACCCCTTGACTTTTTCCACATTTTGTTAGGTTACAGCCTTATTCTAAAATTGATGAAATTGTTTTTTCCCCTCATCAAATGTTAGCAAATTTGATTTTTTTAAAAGTATCACGTTTACATAAGTATTCAGACCCTTTACTCAGTACTTTGATGAAGCAACTTTGGCATCGATTACAGCCTTGAGTCTAACTGGGTATGACGCTACAAGCTTGGCACACCTGTATTTGGGGAGTTTCTCCCATTCTTCAACACAGATCCTCTCAACCTATGTCAGGATGGATGGGCAGCGTTGCTGCACAGCTATTTTCAGTTCTCTCCAGAGATGTTCGATCAGGTTCAAGTCCGGGCTCTGGCTGGGCCACTCAAGGACATTCAGACACTTGTCCTGAAGCCACTCCTGTGTTGTCTTGTCTGTGTGCTTAGGGTCGCTGTTCTGTTGGAAGGTGAACCTTCTCCACAGTCTGAGGTCCTGAGCACTCTGGAGCAGGTTTTCATCAAGGGTCTCTCTGTACTTTGCTCCGTTCATCTTTGCCTCGATCCTGACTAGTCTCCCAGTCCCTGCCACTGAAAAACATCCCCACAGCATGATGCTGCCACCACCATGCTTCACTGTAGGGATGGTGCCAGGTTTCCTCCAGACGTGACGCTTGGCATTCAGGCCGAAGAGTTCAATCTTGGTTTCATCAGACCAGAGAATCTTGTTTCTCATGGTTTGAGAGTCCTTCAGGTGCCTTTCGGCAAACTCCAAGCGGGCTGTTATTAGCCTTTAACTGAGGAGTGGCTTCCGTCTGGTCACTCTACCATAAAGGCATGATTGGTGGACTGCTGCAGAGATGGTTGTCCTTCTGGAAGGTTCTCCCATATCCACAGAGGAACTGTAGAGCTCTGTCAGAGCGACCATTGGGTTCTTGGTCACCTCCCTGACCAAGGCCCTTCTCCCCCGATTGCTCAGTTTGACCGGGCGGCCAGCTCTAGTAAGAGTCTCGGTGGTTCCAATCTTCATCCATTTAAGAATGATGGAGGCCACTGTGTTCTTGGGGACTTTCAATGCTGCAGAAATGTTTTGGTACCCTTCCCCAGATCTGTGCCTCAACACAATCCTGTCTCGGAGCTCTACAGACAATTCCTTCGACCTCATGGCTTGGTTTTTGCTCTGACATAAACTGTCAACTGTGGAACCTTATATAGACGGGTATGTGCCTTTCCAAATCATGTTCAATCAATTGAATTTAACACAGGTGGACTCCAATCAAGTTGTAGAAACATCTCAAGGATGATCAATGGAAACAGGATGCACCTGACCTCAATTTTGCAAAGGGTCTGAATACTTATGTAAATAAGGTATTTTTGTTTTTTACTTGTAATACATTTGTAAGAATTTCTTAAAACCAGTTCTCTCTGTCATTATGGGGTATTGTGTGTTGATTGTTGAGGATTACAATTTTTTAAAATCCATTTTAGAATAAGGCTGTAACGTAACAAAAGGGGTCTAAATACAGTGGGGGAAAAAAGTATTTAGTCAGCCACCAATTGTGCAAGTTCTCCCACTTAAAAAGATGAGAGAGGCCTGTAATTTTCATCATAGGTACACGTCAACTATGACAGACAAAATGAGAAAAAAAATCCAGAAAATCACATTGTAGGATTTTTAATGAATTTATTTGTAAATTATGGTGGGAAATAAGTATTTGGTCAATAACAAAAGTTTCTCAATACTTTGGTATATACCCTTTGTTGGCAATGACACAGGTCAAACGTTTTCTGTAAGTCTTCACAAGGTTTTCACACACTGTTGCTGGTATTTTGGCCCATTCCTCCATGCAGATCTCCTCTAGAGCAGTGATGTTTTGGGGCTGTCGCTGGGCAACACGGCCTTTCAACCCCCTCCAAAGATTTTCTATGGGGTTGAGATCTGGAGACTGGCTAGGCCACTCCAGGACCTTGAAATGCTTCTTACGAAGCCACTCCTTCGTTGCCCGGGCGGTGTGTTTGGGATCATTGTCATGCTGAAAGACCCAGCCACGTTTCATCTTCAATGCCCTTGCTGGTGGAAGGAGGTTTTCACTCAAAATCTCACGATACATGGCCCCATTCATTCTTTCCTTTACACGGATCAGTCGTCCTGGTCCCTTTGCAGAAAAACAGCCCCAAAGCATGATGTTTCCACCCCCATGCTTCACAGTAGGTATGGTGTTCTTTGGATGCAACTCAGCATTCTTTGTCCTCCAAACACGACGAGTTGAGTTTTTACCAAAAAGTTCTATTTTGGTTTCATCTGACCATATGACATTCTCCCAATCCTCTTCTGGATCATCCAAATGCACTCTAGCAAACTTCAGACGGGCCTGGACATGTACTGGCTTAAGCAGGGGGACACGTCTGGCACTACAGGATTTGAGTCCCTGGCGACGTAGTGTGTTACTGTTGGTAGGCTTTGTTACTTTGGTCCCAGCTCTCTGCAGGTCATTCACTAGGTCCCCCCGTGTGGTTCTGGGATTTTTGCTCACCGTTCTTGTGATCATTTTGACCCCACGGGGTGAGATCTTGCGTGGAGCCCCAGATCGAGGGAGATTATCAGTGGTCTTGTATGTCTTCCATTTCCTAATAATTGCTCCCACAGTTGATTTCTTCAAACCAAGCTGCTTACCTATTGCAGATTCAGTCTTCCCAGCCTGGTGCAGGTCTACAATTTTGTTTCTGGTGTC